AAAATTATTTCAGATGTGCCGTGTCTATGGAAAGAAAAAGATAAAAACAAAACCAAAACCAGGTGGGTACGCACATCAGGCAGATCAAAATTGTCCCGACAGCAAAATAAGCAGCTTTTAAGCTTGCTTCCTAATAAGGGTAGTGACAAAACTAAAGCAGATGTGAGGCTGGGTGTTGTCTCCACATTAAAGCAATTGATTTCATACACTTTGCAAGTAGGTGTAATTTTTGTGATAAACAACGTGTGATGGGTAGAACAGGAATAAAGATGCACAGATGTGTACATGTCCAGCTGCTCTATACAGAAGAGCATCCAAAGAGCACATCTCCTTACTGAGGCACGATACCCACGTCTCTCCCTTGAAATGAGGCATTGCGTCTCGGAAAGGGAACTTTTTGCAAGACAGGCGTGCTCCAACTTTCCAGCCTTAATACACAGAGATAGTATATATATATATACACACACACACTACCACAGAAACGTTTTGTAGCCTCAAAGCTTGAGATTGATGACGTGTATAGGAATATAGATATGTCTTCATTCAGTAAATATAAATGAGCTTCATACATTCTGTAAACAAGTTTAATCCAAAATTTTTATAAAATACATCTTGTATTTACACACATACCTCATCTAAAAATAAGAGTTTGTTGAACAAAGTTGTTACAAACTATCAGAACCAGTTCAGAGCTGTTTGTACATATTTCTTGCACAGACCCTAGAGATACTAAGATTAAAAGGTGCAAATCTGCAATTGTGTACAAAATATGTACTATGTTAAGTGCATATCTACATTGCATATCACACATCTGCCAAGTCTGAGGGAAGGAGCAGTTAAAATCACAACTATAAATCTTACAGAACATTAGTATAAAGAAACCTAAAATATTTGGAGATTATATAGAACATTCTTGCATCCTTTGAATATTCATAGTAATTTCAGATGCACGGGATCCATTATGGACACTAACGAACAGCTATGCAGCCAGGAACTAAGCTTGAAGCTCTCTGGCAGCCTAAGAACCTAAATGTTTGTGGTGATGTTAGTTCAACCAACGTGTGTTCACAGGGTCTGGATTGAGTCTTCCAATACCAGTTGGATATTCCTGCTAAGAAAGAAATATGTCATGAAAAAGAGAGAAGACCAGATTATCATGCATAATTCCAAAGCTAACATGCCTTTTTTTTCTTTTTTTAAATGCACTGTAACTGCGTATTTTTTTTTAGAATGTGGATGAATGCTCACAAAACACGTGCAGGTAAGTACTAAGCTGCTGGTGTACTTGGTTTAGTACAACTTTGCAGTAATGCCACCAGAACATCCACAGAACTCAAAAATTAGGTGAAAAGTTGATCACTGTACCATTTTTTTTTTCCTTCAGTGTATTACAAGCTAGAGTATAACATTACAACTTGTGTCCAGCATCAGCTATAAGTACTTGTTTAAAACCAACACAAGCATCAGCCAGAAAAGCAGACTGAATAAGCTAAATGTTTGTGGTAGAGTTGGAATTTAAATATATATTTTGCATCTGTAACGAGTGGTAAAAATAAGTGACTAAAATGGCAAGTTACACAGTTTAAAAAAGCAGAAAACCTACAGTTCTGATAAGGACATAGGTCCATCAGGGATCAAAGACAGCCCTTGCTATTACCTTGCCGTGGTTGATTTTTATTTGCAGCATTAAAAAAAAAATAAGAACAAGACATGGGGAATGGGAATTTTTTTTCTGTTACCAGAAAAAAAATAAGAAATTTAAGATCCACTTGGCAATACTAAATACTGAAGATTGCAAATGCCTAAGTTAGTACCATGTGACATGAACTTCAGCGGACTTCCCTTGTGAAGCAACATTACCATACGGACCATTACATAAGCAGGCAACACAGTACACGGGAAATATTTAACATGTCATCACATTATTACATAATCCTTGGATAGTCAAAATCAGCAAGACTGTAGCTGTTACTAAGGCTGTAATTCTGCCTTAGTGAGTGGAGGGAGAAGCTGGCCTTACAAATCTTTTATTTCTCTTTACAAAGGATTAATAGTACTGGGGAAAAAAACCAAACCACAGATGGGTGTTAAATACCATGCTATTAAAAGCAAGACAGAGCAAGATGTTGTAAAACATAGTTAGGGAAGCATTATTTTTATTTTGTCATCATAAAATAACATTGTTTAAAGATCACACAAATTTGATAGATCATCTTTTTTCTCCAACGTTAAGCCAGCACTACAGTTGAGAAAGGTGTTCACCCGTTTCTCTGTAAATTTATACTTTTAAGTAAAATAACTTGATTCTCTAAATATGCATTTTAATTAATTATGTCACACGGTAAGTGTCTTGCTCCTTTGGTCAGAGATAGTAAATGAAGACTTCAAATATTCGTATCTTCAATTTTTAAAAACCCAATATACATCCTTAACCAAGGAGTATTCACGCTACACACAAGCCATAGATACAAAATGCACAGTATATACATGTTTTGAAAACAAATGGGAATTTATAAAAACTCAATAGCCAAATCAAAGTAACTGAGGCACTAAATTAAAAGTAGTATCTTCATGTCTTCATTATACAGACTATTCTGTGAACAATCAGGACTGTTTCATAAATATATATTATCTACAGAATTTGCTGTGCCAAAAGCAGCCAGCTGTGTTTAAGCTCAAAAGAAAAATTGCACTTTGAGATTGTTACAGTTAACTTCTCATTTTTTCTCCTCGAATATAGTAATCTGGTCCTAGTGCTTTTGGCACAGGTATCGAGTTGTGTTTTTGCTACACTTTCTTATAAAACTCAAGGTTCTTTTATTTTGTTCATTAAAATCTGAAGAGTCCTAAACAAACCTAGAACTTTGATACAAATCTATATAGCTACAATTGCTTCATTAAATAATATACACAAATATGCTCTTCGATCTTAAAACATCTTGACAACCGGATACAAAACAGTCACTTATATTATCGCCAGCCTCCTTAATCTTACGCGTTATCAGTCTGCAAGTGACTAAAATACAGTTTCTGGCCACATCTTGCACTAGATCACACCCCAGTGTACAAGGACAGAAAATAAATGTATAATAAAAAGATTGGATAAATTAGTAGGGGTTTCTTGGTCTTGAATTCTTCTCCCACTAGTAATGATGCAGCACTGTATGCAGCCCAAAAGACTCCAAACAACTGAAAAAAAAGATGAACAGTCTTAGCTGACACCACAAGAAAATCGCTCCAAATACCAAGATAAAAATCAGTTCTTCTCTCAAAATAATTAAAAAAAAATCCCCAAAAAAAGATTTTTTTTTTTTTTGGGGGGGGGGGGGAGAACTACACACGCACATAAAAAGAATATACTATGCATTTTCATTTAAGTTTAGAGAAATATTAAACAAATGTTACTTTCGAGACATTTTTACTGAAGTGAGCAGCTAAGGATCTACAGTAAGTTTTCTCTAATATAAAAGACATATAGATACCATAAAGCAAGCTGTAAGCTTACATACACCGATAATTTGAAACTTCACTGGATTAATAACTTTTCCTTCTACCTTGACTGTCCCCAACTATTAACTCCTCCCTGTCTTTAAGCAAAACTATACTTAACTCTTCCTCCTAAAGCATATAACAGAGGATTAAATCACCATTTTTTAGCTCAGGATTTGCGTGGCTCATAAGCTTTTCTTTAATTGTGGTGCCCCCACCTCAAGGTAACTGAACCTCACGTTCCTATTCCTTTCTGGTGCAGTGAGAAGCCTGCCAAAATACAATCTCTATCAAAAAATGTATTGCTTACTAGTTAAGAAAGAAGCAGTTTAAAAGACTGGTAGAAAGTAACATTACCTATGAATATCCACTATGTTATATGAAGACTACATGAATATTTTTAAAAAGTCTTGAGGTCAATGAACTTGACTCAAACCTCAAACTAACAAGGTTATAGCAGAAAGTAATCAGACATTATTATCCTCTAACAGCACCTTGAATATTAATAAAAAAGGAAAAATACTTAAAACTGAGTGGCATGCAAAACCACTGTAATCTTCTGCAAAACATGAGACCAAAAAGGGCAGAGGTAACAGGACCCCAGCAAAGAACTTCTTCCACAGTTCTGTCAGAGGAGCTGAAGTCCCTTGAGGGCTTGCGTGGCCTGTTCAACTGCCATTGCAAAAAACAACCAAACCAACCAACCCCAAAACTGCATGTGATTGCATACTTCTGTTTTTGCTGCCTAACCTGGGACTTCAGAGATGGACAAGAAGGACAAACCAGATCATGACTGAATTCCATAAGATACATTAGGAATATTGCAGCAATTAAAACAACCGAGGCACACCGCTTGAATAGTTTACTTTGCTGACTGCAACTGGGACAGAACTGACTGGAATGTCACTATTTCACGGTAAGATCCCCAACATTCAGACTGTGAAATATTTCCCCAAGCGCAGAGCTCTTGGCACAGCATAACTAGTTCTGGCCACACGGGGCTCATCCTGCATTTTCACACTAATGATGCACAAGTAAGAACCTCGCACAGATTCGCCCTGAAGTTAACATAAAGACTGTCGGTTAGTAGTAATCAAGTAACAGAGGTTTCATTAACATATATTTATTTTCAAGCTATGTATTAGCTAACTGGAAAGTTAATGATTTACTTCTGACTTGATCACTTCATAGTAATTGGACATTATCAATTCACAAACACAGCAATTTTGTTATTTACCATACCCTTTAGTTGTACTTCAATTATACTGTTTACAGGCAAGCTAAAAGGACAGAAATCAACCAAATCAACAGAACAAGAACTCAAAAAAAACCATACAGCTTAGCTAGTCACAGCATTTTCTCAGTTCACCTTTCCAAAACTTCAGCAATAGCTTCAAAGGCTACCTAAAAGGTTTTAAGAAGTACTGGAAGTGCTCAAGAATGTTAAGTAGTTCTGGGGTCTATCAGGGAACGTTTCTAGTTTCATAAAAGGTGTCCGACGGCAGCTGGTATCAGGCAAGTTATTCTTGCTGTGTGCCTTATGTTCCACATCTGTAAAATCGGAACAAAACCTACCTTCTCTGCAAAGGTATTGAGAGCTTTGTGCTGCTACCGCTACGGGAAGGTCTCTCAACAATGACTAACGTCATATTCATGCTGCAGTAACTAAAAATAAACTCGATGATGGGGGAAGCAACAGAATGGCTTATTTTCAGATTCTTCATTCTGAAGCTTAATTACACATCCTCTTCTCAAAATGGTAATCCTATTTATTTCAATGCAACTATTATAGCACAGCAAAACACTTAAACAGAAGCTAACGTGATAACAGGTGTTGTTATAGCAACAGTACTGTATATCCCCAAGTACTCAAAAGAAACATTTAAAACCGAATTCACTCAGTAGTGATGGCCACCATGCAAACCAAAAGGATGACAGAGCTTGTGCTGTAGTTCTGAATATTCTGACACATCATTATGTTGTCCAGAACAGACTAATACATGAAGTGTTATAAAAGCAACTTAAAAATAACTGTAAACAATTCTCAACAGATGATACTGAACTTACTTTTATTAGGGTAGAAACAACATCAAATGATCCAACCACCAAAAGTACAGGTGCTATGACAATGAGGGGCAGTAGGGAATATCCTATCACACCAAGAACTTGGCCATAAGCAACCTGAAATTTTAAAACACATAAAACCAAGCTTTCCAGTACTCAAACTTCGTCACCAAACACAACTTGATTTTGTTATAACAGTATGAATAGCAATAATAATGCAGTAGGTATTCATGAAATTTCAGCTCAAGGCAGCTTGCTAGTATGAAAATTGTTTTTATATGCTACCCTCTAGACTTTTAAATTGATCATTCTGTTATCCCACAAATACGTTGCCTTTTTTTTTTTTCTTTTTAACACTGTAAATGACAATTTTATCACTTCCAAGGAAAGTATTTACACAGGTTAAAATATGTAGTTCCAGCCACCCTCACATCTTCACGTTCCACCTTAAACGGTTCTCAACTGCCACTCTCCATGGAGTGTACGAATGATACCCAGGAGCACAGAACTACAACAGACCTTTTGGTTACCAGCTTTAGTCCTGGCTCTCACAAGAAGCAACGGTATCATTTTCTGTATTAAGATATTCATTATATGTAAATAAGCTCATAAAGTACATGAATGCTTTTGGCGTCAGTGGAAGACCCAGAACCTGTCCCCCTAAGGCACAGAAACCTTCCAATTTCCAGTTTAAATTTATTATGACTATCTCGAACAGATTTGTTCAAAGTATTTCCATAACTGTTTTTAGCTTCATGGGGATTAAAACCTCCAATTTTCCCCTATTATGGTTTGAAATGTTTCTGAGCCCAGTTAGGCTTCTTTCTGTTTAGGAAAAAACAGCGGTGAGACAAGTGACTGTCTTGCAAGCAATCTCTTGTGGTCGTTGATCCTGCACATCGAACTGTGCAGACCAGTTTATACATTCTGATAATTTCACATTTTGAGCCACAAAACAGTCTGATTTAAGGGCATCTGGACTATGCTGGTATGAAGAAAAACCACGCAATCACATTTATAAAAGCTTTTTGTTTCAAAACAGTGTTCACACAAGAAGACTCCAGCAATTATGATATAAAGCAAAACCTAAAAAAAACAATGTCAATGTAAATAATGTAGGAAGTCTGCAACACTAGTTCATCATTAATGCAGATTTTTTTAGTAAAAATCTAAAAATCAAGTATCACTGACCATTTAGTTCTTCACAACACAGTTCAACACATTTTATGCTGCAGAGCCGTTTTAAGAAGTTTCTACCCTCCTGAATGTTCCGCTGTGGCTGTCTGTGGGCCTTGCTGCAAGTCATTTTTTGTTCTTTACACCTGAATCTCTTAGTGACTCAATCTGTGAACACCTCCAACAGCTATTCCAACCCTGCTGGTGCAAGCAGCTGGAGGGAGGGATGCAGGCCAGAATTTCAACTGGCTTTGCAGTTGAAGAACATGTGCCAATTTTCATCTTTTAATCGGTTTGAACTGCACCAGGCCAAAGATGAAAACAAATACTGGTAGATGCTCTGCCCACAAGGACATTATAAAACTTCTGTTAGCCCCATTAAAAAAAAAAAGTTTAAATAAAGGGCAGTGCAAGAGCAGTGCAATGGAGGAGAAAGAGTTCCATTTAGCTCAGCAACTGAAAAATTTAAAGCACTTGTCCCTCAAAAATGGGCTTCAGTTCTGGATCACAGGCACCCGTTAGAATTTCTGGCATTCATAATACAAATTTTCAGATTGTTTGTCACATCCAGCACGTCATCCATCACATAGAAAGATCAGCTGACTATCTCTGTACTTTAGATTTTATTTTGGAGGCCAAGAACCTGAAACGCAGACGTTACACTTACCAACTGCATCCATTCTTAGCTAGCTACCAGGTCCAAACCCAAGCACCAAGAAAACCCAACTACTACTGAAGAATGTAACCAAGAGACTTTACATTACCTCCCTCTACATCCTATTCGCATACAGGTACTTACTTCTCCTCCAAGAACCCTGGCCAGTAAAAATATTGTCAAGGATCCAAATATCCAAATAGTTATAATCCAAGAAACAACCTTAAGAGATAAAGAACAATTCATTTATGTTAATCATTTTCATTGTGAGAAAGGAAAAATAATTTCTATTAATCACTTTCACTGCAGTCAAGGATTTTATTACGCACAACTGAACTCTGAATTGAGGCAAGAATAGTTTTACTTAGTATCACAATGCAATTTGAGAATAAAATTCAGAGGTAACATGTACAGAAGCACATTAATGGTAAGTTTGGTGAACATGGAATGAACATGCGGTGTGTTTTGTAAATACTGTATCAGAGTAGGAAGGGTTTAGATAAAAATAAAGCTAAGACCACCCTAGCTAAATGTCTGCACATCCTGCCTATTACAAAAGGTGGGCTCAGACAGTTTTTAAAAGTCAGCCCAGCCAATACCAGGAGTTGGATTTCTGCTCCTTTCATCCATGAAGACGCCACTTTATTCTTCAAACCGAGAATGCGCAGAAAAAGACACAGGACTTTCAACTCTCAGTAGAACTTGAACAGGATCACAACTTAAAAAACAGCCCCAGACTCCTGGGACAAAGCCTATGATTGTTTTTTCTTGCTTCTTTCGTTCTGCTCTTAAACTGAAGGAGAAATGTTAAAATCATTCTTCGGCTTGACAGAACTTTCAAAGTAATTTAGCTGTTCTTGGAGTTAAGGCACTGGGAGGATTAGAAGTGAAGCTCTGCCTTTTGAAACACCTTTTTTAGACTGAAACAACAGTATCAGTCCAGTCTCTGTAATTCCAAATGTACAATGGCTGCACTTTGAAATGAAGTTAGCACTCAATTCCATTTTTTTTTCTTAATTAAAAATTCCAGATTCACAAAGAATCAAATAAGAGATTATTTTTCTTTAAATTTAAAATCAGATTAAAAAAATCACAGCACCACTTTGAAAAATTAAGATAAACGTAACGGCTTTATGCTATTTGTGAAAATAGTGCATGGCCCCCTTTTACCTTCTCCTTTCCTCCAGTGTCTAAGAGAGGACAGGGATGCTCATCTCTCTCCATCTTACAGCCCACCATTCAGTTTATCTAGTCTAGCTGCTGTCAGTCATGCTGTTGCAGCTACTAGCATTCCCCCCTCACACATATACAGCACTCTTACAACTGTATGGTAATCCACTGTTCCAAAGAAACATTCGACCCACTGTTCACATCCAGTAGGCACACAAGCTGCAGAAGGTAGTTTATCTGTCACTGGATCAAGGAATGGTCCTTGCTTTGCCTAGGAGACCGCTAAGCAGTCCCACCCAGCAGACCCCAATACCACAGTGGTTTAGTCTACTCACTTCAAGTCTCATAGAAACCACATACCGAGAGCCAGTTCTTAGTCAGCATTTGGTACCTCATATGGAAGCCAGAGGTCGCAAAGGGAATGATTTTACCTCACCATTCACAAAAAATCCTCGCATAAGCACATACTGTTACTTTACATATGGCTTATTGCTATACTACGTTGCATTTAAAACAACTGTAAATCCACACAGTCATAGAGATTTCCAAAGCGGGATCACCTAGTCTCGCTTTCAAATTGTGACTATAAATGATACCACTTCTCTAAAGAAAAAAGCTAACAGTGTTTATGGAGGCCAATTAAATCTGCACAATGCTTCTGAATAGCCACTCACCATAGAGTTTAAAAGGAATTATGGAAAAAAGTCTGTTGACCAGAGGAAACTTATGTGACTATAATTGAGCAGGGAGGACAAAATGGCAAATGGCACTAACAAAGATTAAATATAGCAGATAACATTGGTGATACAGTATGAATTAAACAAGCAGCTTTATTTGTCAGGAAATTAAAATTCATGCCATCCAAACAAATGTTCTTCAGTAACATTTTTTAGTAATAAAAAGCATGTTAACAAAAGGTCATGATTAAAATGAAAGATTCACTAACATGACTCTAAACCCATTAGTATCAATCTTTTCCTCTAGAAACCACATCTTTCCTTTGTTATACTGTACAAAACCAAACCTGACATTTCATCATGATTAACTTATCCCTGGGTTATTTAATACATTTCTCACTGCTGTCTTTCTACATATTGACTTGAGAAACAGCACTTGAAACGCCCTGCATTAGTATATGAAGAAAAACACTCTCTACCCACGTGAGAATGCAAATTGCTTAGCACTCATGTCCCCAAATTTAGCTTAGATTTCTTTTTAGGCAGAAGGCTTATACCTACCTTAAATTGTCCATATAATGAAATCATTGAGAAGAAGAGGACAACTGCCAGAGGACCCCAAAAGTCTGGATTGTCTCTCACTACCTGTCTATTAAACCCAAGAGATGGCATAGGCATCAACACACATCGAATTTTGTAGTAAATATCCTTCAGATCAATGTCGAGTTCTTCCCTGAAATTGTTAAGCAAGAGAGCATTACTATACACCATGGCAATGAAACAGAGCATAAAAAAAAGGTAAGTTTGAAGGCAAACAGTAAGTTTACAGACGAAGTGTCCTGTCATCCATAAGGCTTTCTGAAGCCATGACTAGTAAAGGACACTTTGTCCACAGCAAAGCAGCACCATACCTTCATCCCATATTCAGTAACTGATGTGACACAGATATATTTAATTATTCAAAAATCAATCACATGACTGAGAATAGCAAACCTACACAGTATACCCTAACAGTCTACATTAAGACAGTGAATCTATTTTCTGACATGCAGGAACACATGACATTCACACCACTGTCACTACTTGAAAGTCAAAGTCATGCATACAGAAAAGTAGGATGTCTGTGTATTCCTATGCTGAGCAGTTTGCCACGAGCACACTTATTACGGAAACATTTAATTCAAATTCTACAAGAAAGAATACCTTTACTTTCACTAATCCTAAACCATTCGAAAGACATCAGGTAAAAACTTTTTTTGTAATAAAATGGGGTTTCACTTGCTTCAACAAAAACAGCTTTCAGCATACCAGTTTATGCCAATTGTTTAATTACTGGCTTGTTTCCAATAGGGGCGAAAATAAATAAAAGTCAGCTAAACTAGCAATATGTTTTATCAACAGATCTTGCACTTCTCCAATTGCCTTCTCCACTCCCTGCTACGAACTATCCATAAGCAGCTACAAATTGACCAGAAGACTCTTCTGCATAGGAGGCTCTTAACAGGTGCATCTTGCCCTGATTGTCTCAGCATAAGGGGGAGGAAGCGGACTTTCCAAGTAATGGGCAATTCTACTTCTTTAAGCTTATGTGTGGAACCTTGAGACAAAACCGTATGCTAGTGTTTTCCTTATGCAGTCAGGACCGAGGAGCTCTGAAGAGTTGCAAGAGGCTTCCCTGCAGACATCCCTTGGCTCTACATTCAAGAGCACGGTAGAGGAAAAGGTAGAATCATATCCTAAGTGTGTTTGTGAAAGTTTTGTACAAGGCTTTGATTTACGGCTTTTTCCTCAGAAAAGCTGAAGAAAGAAAGAAATGCAAAGACATGATTGACCACAATTTGTCTTTAAAAAAAAAAAAACTAAATACTGCTCACGGAGTCTCTCAAGGTGATTTCAGGCTTGCTATTACTGAAGCTATTTCAGAATTGGTATTACCAACACATGACTAAATAATAAAAATTGTTCTTTAACACATCCCTGAATTTAAGGGGTAGACTAGAAGCATCTCTTTTCCCCATTTATTTAAACAGGGTGTAGCATTCCTATATTTCACTCTGAAGATTGTGTAACACAAATATTTCCTGTCTGGAAATAATTCTGTGTCATCGCCTAGAGCTTCTGACAGCATGCGAATTAACTGTCTTTCGCATGAGGCTAACAGCTACCTCACCTACAAAGTAATGGTAGCTGTAATGGCAAACAAGTGGCTGGAGTAAGGCTGCCCAATAAGAAAAAAAAATCTCCCTCTATTGAACAAAGCACTAGCACAGTGAACTTCCCTTAGCTGCCTACTATTCTTTAAATCCATAGCAGGATTCAGATTACAAGGCTTCATCACCACACATGTTCTGGGAACAATCGGAACTGCATGAAAACTGCTACATGAAAATCAGATTAAGGTCTTCTCTGTCAGGATTTTATTCATCCTGCTTGCCACAAACGGATCATTTCCCTGGCATGTTCTCCTTGCTTCCAGCAACCAGCAGCTTAGAACACCGAGTTGTCTTTGAATCACAAACTTGTTTTTTTGTGATATAGAAAGTTACACAGAAGAGGGAATTCACGTGTTTGTTACCTCAGTACACCATTCTGATTCTTAATTCAAAGTTAGAGGTTTACAGAACAGACTTACACAAGGAGCTACTTGTGCACACTTTATGTTAAAGTACTTTTCAAGTAGCAGTTTCATTGTTAAGCTCTCCAGACATCTGTTCTCTCCCAACACTCATTCAAGTTCTCCAGAGTACTCTCCTGCTCACTCCATTTTTTTAAAGCATCATTATCTTTAATTCACACAGGAAAACACTGGGACACTGAGAATTAGGCTGCTTCAGCACACAACAAGGACTAAGACCCAGGCTGCCCGACTCATAGTAACCTTAAGATACAAACTTTCTTCAGCCAACCACGCTCTGTGAACAGAACAAGCGACGCAGAGATTTTCAGTTTTAAGGACATTTTTGTCTTTCAGCACTAATATCCTTTTAATCTAGCTTTATAATATAAAATAGCATCATTATAAAGTTTGTGCTACCTTGCTTCTAGCGTCCCTACTGTAATAAGCATGATTCACAATGCATTTACTTCAATGTAACTGACAGAATTTTTAGAATTACCTAACGTAAGTATTTCCACAGGATTGCCTTAGCCTCTGATTCTTTGACAGCATTAAGAAACTCGCATCATCAGCACAAAAACCAGAAACAATACAACCTAATTTTTTTTTTCACAATTACAAGATCAACCAATAAGAGCAGAAAAGCCATAAAAGCTTTATACTTCTAGAGATTTATAATATCGTATTTTACTTCCTCCTTCCTCCACCACAGTGAGTAACAAGCCTGTCTTTTACACTAAAAATAAAACCCATAATGAGAAACATGTCTTCATTCCTGCACCAGAAAACACTCCTTGGTTAAGCAACTCGTCAAATAGAATTCTAGTCACAGCAAAAGCCTGTGGGACAATTTGAGAGGCTACAAGTTGTTTGTTTTTCCTACACAGCTAATAAAGATGGATAACCAAAAATAATCACCACCTACAGGAGTGGCTTTTTTTTTTTTTTTTTTTTTAAAAAAAACAAGCCTTAGGAATGTAGTTGCAGTAGATTCTTTGATGAATTCTCCTCCAAGATTTAGCTTAACATCTGGAGCTGTTATGGAGCCACTAAGATCTTAGAGAAACAGGGAGAGAAAGATACACCTTTTTATGTCTTACCAAAAGCCATGTGATTTCAAAAGTTATCTTCAAAAAGATAAACAACAGACATAAAGCTGCATGTGCTGGTCATCACCACAAACTATTCAAAGTTATAGAATAAAACTATACTTTTAACAGATACATAATTCGGAAGGGTACTTCTGGTTTTAAGGCAATAGGAGCAATGTTGATTTAGGTCCCAAATTAACAAGTTTTAGCTTCTAGATGGAACACTCGTTTTGATGACACAGTGTTATGGTATGACAGAAAGGCTTCATCATTAAGCACTTAAAGGCATACAAGGAGTTAACTAATTATATTCTTAACATACTGTAAGGTGTGGATTATTTACCCTTTTTTTGCTGACAATACTATACCTCTTTTGGAGCCCGTCCCTGCACAGTGGCAGTTTCAGCCAAAACCATTCTATCCTTTTATGTCCAATTTTTCATGAAAGGAGAACACTTGTAGATGTTTTCATTCGTAGCCTGCCTTTAATACAGGTCAAACTGTTAGAAGACTATCAGACATCCTTAGGCTCCAGCCAGTAAGAAGAGACACAAGGAGTTCTCTTCAATATATTATGATCTTGCTCTGCCACACTACTAAACAAGACAAAGAGCAATTTATGTATGTTCTGGCTGCGTCAAAGTCACCAACAAATATTAATTTTATTTGCTCATTGTATTCAGTTACGTACAAATGAACAACACAAAATAGTAACTGAAAATACACGCAGCAGCTTGAAGAAAGAAAAAATACGGAAGAGGGGAATAATTATTCCTTCAGGAAATGATGGATTTCCATTATTTGCTAAAAAGAAAATGGCCAAACAGAAACACGCAAATCTTCTGTAAATACCTTATTACAAATACATTAAGACACAAAAACTCTTTTCTCATCCAACACCTTACCGCTTCACCAAAGAAAGTCGTATTTTGCGTTGTGTGCTCTTCACACAAAATACTTCCTTCGCACAAATATCCCAAAACACCTAGCTATAGCAAGGATTTCTGAAACTTACTCACTCACAGAGGCAAGTCAGGCCATGTTTGCCAACAACATTTACAACATCTTCTATCAAAATGCAACGTATTTTATTTATAGAGACAAATTCTGTACAGTGACAGAACCTCACACAGTCTTCAGCCAGCATGTCTGAAGTGTTCACTGATCACTCAGTATCATAATTAAACAGAATTCTCCCTCCCAAACCAGGTTGCTAGGCCACTCCAGCTTAAATTTAAGCTTTACCACATATGCTTTTCAACCGTTTCATCATCATGAGAGTTCATGATCCATTGCTTTGATTCTTGGAACACCCTCTGCTTCAGGATCCTCGTAAAGATCACTGTAACTTACAGAGTTTCTCTTTGCTCCTCTAAGTACCAGCACACATACGCTGTTCTCATCAGACACAAGCAAAGCTGCCTTCCGCTATTTACAGTAGGAGAAAAAAGAAAAAGGTATTCGTAATGCCTGGGTGTCAAGGTAAAGAAAACCTCAGAGGTTTTCTATTGTCACTGGCACCCTTTGTTATTTAAAAATACTTGTTTATCCTACAACATAACACTGTTTTGCAAGGAGAGGTTTTTCCTACTCTTTGTGCAAGGATGTGACTATCAAAACACACAAATGTAACTGTCCAACCAGCCATTTCTTTCTTCTTTCACGCTGACAATCCATCCTGAGGCAGGGAAACTTCTACACAAGTCTTACTTACCAAGACTCCTTCTAGTAGTCGACGACCTAAAACCACATTTTTTAAGCATGAAACCTACTAACAAGATCTTCAGTCTATTTTGCAAGACATCTCAGGTGGGACTTAAAGCTGCAGAAAACAAGGAAAAGATTCTGCCACCCCCTCTTCTACAGACTGCTTTGAATGAGATGGTTAACTGCAGGCCAATAGAGCGCTGAAGAACCTGCCAAGAACTGATGGTTCTGATGTTTGCTAGTGAGAGTTAGGTTGCCTTCACTGCTACTGTCTCAGGCAGACCACCACAGAAGCAAAGCTGAGGTATCTCATACGCCTCACTTCAACCAGGCATTGTGGAAAAACAGCTTTCAAGCCAGTCTTTGCTCTCAATTTTGATAAAGCAGTACAAGAGGAAAAAAAACCCAACAACCCCAAAACAGTCTGTTCTTTACACCACTGCCGTGCACTTAATTGAGAACACCTCTCTAGCATTTTTTCCCACCAGCAGCTCCTACCTTTCATGGAAACAAGATGGGAAAATAAAACAGCTTATACTTTTATTTTTCATATGGATCAAGATTTGGGAAATAACTAAAAATTAGAGTCCAATGTGTAATATTTTTAATTTAGAAATATCAAGCTGTTTAATTTTGCTTACGTTTTTGTTTGTTAGGGTAGGCCTTCGCAGCACTTTGAAGACAGGACTACACTTAAACAGGACCTGCTTGTGTTCAAAAAGAACACGGAGACAAGCCCAATTCTACACATCCTACTGGAAACATGGCTGTACTGGACTGGGTTCAGCATTGCTCAACAAATACTTCCGGGGGAATCCGGAGAGCTTCCATTCAGAGGTACATGGATCCTTTTTCAGGCCAAAGTGGAGAAGAAAAACAAAACAAACAACAAAACCACAGCTGAGATTGTACCTGTTGATTAGTATTCCTCACCAGAAGGACTGGGAAGTTCACCAAAGAACAGGCATTCTGCCGCAGTCTTTCCACTTCAGTAATTCTTCACCGGGGCGGGACACAAGTCAGGATTTACACGATTCCCTACCCCTACCCGCCAACACGACAGTAACCAAACACACCCGTAAAGCAGAACGGTTGTTGTTCAGGCAGGTAGAGCCCAGAAGGTCGCTGTAAGGAGGCACAACGCTGACTCCTGTATGCTCATTTTCGCACTCCGAAGGCAGACCGCGGAGCGCTGCTTCCCCACAGCTATCCGTGCAGCGGTTCGGCGGCGGGCGGCACTCCGGCCCCTGAACTACACGCAGGGCTCCCTCCCTCCGCGCCCCACTCCCGCACCGAAACGAGACGCGGCACCCAGACGCCGGCAGAGCGCT